GCAGGGTTATTTTTGTAAAGATGTCAGAATCCACTGATGCAGAATAGGATTTAAATATGCTTTGCAGATTATTGTGGTTATGCTGTGGCATTTGAGAATCACGGCCATGATCCAAAGGAGCAGCTCTGTGCCTGCAGCTGGGGTTTACCTGTTCTGAGTGGTGGTGCTAATGAAGCTTTGAAAAGGATGCTGGTTCTATCTATGCAGGTTCTGATGTGAACGTGGGAGGTCTCCTGAGTTGTCTTCTGCATTCACTTTGAAAACTTCTGCCACAATAAATTTGTGAGATTTTAAAATTTGCAAGACTTTTGCTTTCATTCGAGGAGATAATTTATTACAATGTATTTACATTTTTTGCCATCCTTCAAGAGTGCAGTTTAGCCACATGCTATACTAACTCGTCCCCCTCCATCTTATTTTTACAACAATCCTGTATGATAGACAAAAAGGGAAATGGTGACTGGTCCTTGAAACCAGGTGATCCTCATGGGTGAGTGGGAATTTGAAGCTGGATCCACTGGTTTGAATCTTAACAGTGTAATCAGTACCCCACACTGATTCTTGGCGTAGTGCAGCTTGGATACTTGCATATCCCTGTCTGTGGATATTGTTTTTTGTCCCAAAAGACAATGAAGACCCCCACTTATAGCACAGTTCATTGTGTGCAATAATGTGCTTCTATACATCCCTGGTAGCTGAATTAGGACTGCAAATTTTTATTTACATTATTTGATAATACAGAGTATACATATCAAGTTGTTGATAGTGAGTGGGTACCGATATTGCAAAGTACGGATCACTTTCAGAATCGAGTACTCTTAAACACATTAGGCACTGACATTTGCTAAACATGCATCTAAATGCAGTGGAGAAAGAAACCAAAGGAGGAGTCTAACATACTTTCCAGGGCACTCCTGCAGATGCTCCAAGTTGAACAGGTCTCCTAGTCTTGGATCTGAGGCTTGGCATGGGCAGAGCTGTTCAACTCATAGGAATGGAAGTAAAATCAAGACTGGATTCATTGCTCTGGTAGCACAACATATGCCAGCTGCCCCTGCCAATTTTATATGGATTCCTTTTCCCCTTCATTTATCATGCACAAACCAGTCATGCCATATTTAACACTAATCAGGAATTGCTTTTAAACTATATGTGAAACCATTGTTAGAAGCTATATATCAAATCATGATTTGATGATGTTCCTTGTTAGTGTTTAAAAGGGAAGATGCAGGGAGGGAAATCTAACAGGACGTTTAAGACCAACTGATATGTTTTAACATGAGCACTCATGGATATCAATTCACTTTTTCAGATGCCCCGAGGAGTGTGATTTTAAAGGCACAGATTTTTAAAGCATAGTTACACAGTTGTGGAAATGGGCTAGAATATAATAGGATACAAACATCCAAACTGTGACAATGACAATACATTTCAAAACATGTGTGAGATGATACGTGTCTTTCAAGGGGCTGGTAATAGACTTCATAGTGATCTGTTAGTATTGACAAATGAAAGCAATAAAGCTGCTTACCAAAGTAAGTTTCTTTGGGATCAAAAACCTCTTTGAGAAGATTTCTTTTGTTATAAGTGCAGTTGTGAGGAATTGTGTAGTAGTATATGTAGTGTGCCATGAAAACATAATCTCTGTTTATGCCCCTGCTAATAAATTGGAATTTCTTTTTCCAGTTTTCTTTTGAATTTGTGTTTTGTCTTGAAATAGTCATTCTTAAGTACAGTACTTTATTTCCAGGAAGGCTAAAAAGCGCTTCAACTGGTTCTTGAGTTCTGCCATTTCTGATGTTAGATTTAAGCCCATTTAGGGCCTTTGCAGACTGCCAGAAATAGTGCAAATTGAGTCCACTTTAAGGGTTAGGGTTAGTGCTAGGGAATCATGGGAATTTTTTTTCTGAGACATTGAGCCTTCTCTGTCAGAGAGCTCTGGTGCCACAATAAAATACAGTTCCCATGATTCCCTAACCTAACCCTAACCCTTAAAATGGACTCAATTTGCACTATTTCTGGCTCTTTTTCTAAGATTATCATGTTTGACAAATGTAGAGCATAAAGGGCCATTGCTGAGACTGTTGTGTTTTTTCAAGTCATTTCTGACATATGAAGACTCTCAGGCAAACCTATCATGAGGTCTTCTTGGCAAGATTGGTTCAAAGGGGGTTTACCTTTGCCTTTCCTCTGAGGCTGGGAGAGTGTGACACATCAGAGCAACCAGGAAGGTCAGGTACTGAACAATACTGCTATACACCTACGAACCAAGAATAGCATACGTTTACTATGGTATGACTAAGGCATACAAAAATGATTCTACAGTAACTGCAAAGTATAACAAGTCACCAAAGGGACAATCAGAAATAATAAATGTCCATAACAAAGTCCATTCACACTTTATAAAACCAGAATCCTGAATGTAAAGGATGTGAAGTGTAGGATCCTGTAACTTGTGAGGAACTTGAGGTGTGAGGATAATAGGATTGGAAAATCTTGAAGATGATTATGTAGAACATAACATTGAAATTTATGGCATCAAGGAACTGAAGAGACGGCTATTTTCAGAAGGCTTTACATCCATTTAAAAAGATTTTCATCAGTCCATGCATTTCTACATCCTATAGAAAATCCATATTGAATCCTGAAACATTTGATACATGTATGAAATAACTTACACATTACAATAAATTTTAGTGACCAAATAATACAAGTACAGGAAATAACATATAAACTCAAACTTGAAGGCATTTATGAATATTTTCTCTTTTAGCATAAGAATGTATATGCAGCCTTCTCCCAAAGTAAGTTTATGAAATGACTTCACAAAAGCTTAGCTTTTATAGGGAATGGCTTGCTCATTTGTTCCTACTTACTTGTCAATTAACTGGCTTACTAAGGGTTTTACAACTAAGGTAACCTATATTCCTTAAAATATCTGTTGACGTAAAAATAATAGGTAAAGGCAAAGGTATTTATCTACTTGCATTTGCATACTTTTGAACTGCTAGGTTGGCAGAAGATGAGCTCACCCATCACACGATACCTGGACCTCAAACTGCCAACCTGCCAATCTTGCAATCAACACAGTCAACATCTTAACCTCTTATGTTGTAGATAATACAGGAACCAGAGACCCTTGAATCAGGAAAAAATGAGTTTATTCCTTTAACGTCGACTGGCCTGAGAGCGCCCCCCTTGCTAATCAACATCCTTATATATCATCTTACACAGCCAATTTATAATTATATTAATATATGTATAATTCCACATTTTGATTGGTTACAGAACACAACTCCAAATTACATTCCACTTCTATTTGCTAATTACATTCCACTTCTATTTGCCATGCAGGAACAAATTTAGCTCTCCTCCCTACTGCCTGTTCATACCTTCCTTATCTATTTTAGCTTTGAAGCTGACTGGCCTTCAAGGCCAAAAAAAACCCCATATTCTTTAGTTATCTGTTTCACTGAAGCAGAGCTGAAAAGCCTTTTGCTAACTGCCCGCAAAGGTACAGTTTTAAACATAGAAAATGAGACCCCAAGGGTCATCTAATCCAGCCCCAAATTAGCCGTGAGCTTTGTAGTTTTCTATATTTTTCATCTCTTACACTTGAGCCACCACATTTAAAAACAGAGATCTACTCCAGTACAATCTAATGTGTGCATACAGTGCTCATGCATGCATACATATTTGAAGTACATAATTGGCAACAACATAATAAATAATAATAATTTTTTTTTATTTATATCTCACCCCTCTGCAATGCAAACATAAGTGAAGGCTGTTGTGGGCCTTCAAGTTGTTTCTGACTTATGGTGGGTGACCTTATGGGGTTTTCTTGGTAAGTTTCTTCCGAGGGGTTTTACCATTTCCATCTTCTAAGGCTTTAAGGGTGTGATTTGCCCAAGGTCACTCAGGGGGTTTCCATGGCTGAACAGGGATTTGAACCCTGGTCTCCAGAGTCATAATAGTCTAATGCTCAAACCACTACAACAGCAGTCTTACAAATCATTAAAAACTGTTTTGGATTTCAGCTCCAGTTATGACAACAATTGGGCACTTGATCACTTCATAATTGAGGTCATGTTTTGAAATTAGTAGGTAAATGCATTACCATCCCATTTTTGTTAATATATTTTTCTCTTTTCCTGCTGAACATCTGTATTCTTTTTTCCATGTTAAAAAGCTTTTAAAGTAAACTGAAGGTTTGCTGATACTCTGGGGACCTCTGGTGGACCTTACAGAATAGTGAGATCTGTTTGGAGCATAGTTGGGTGGGGAAAGGAAGTATTTCGGGAAAGAGACAACACTGCAGGCTAGAAAAATTCAGTCCAATGTTGTTTTAAGCCTTTAATTAAAACATGATGAAAACGTGGCTGCTCCAAAAACAAACAAATAAACAAACCAACACACATTTGCTTGAATGTTCTCACAGCTTCTCATTTTGATACTGCTGTCTTTATTGTTTTTTATGATTTTTATAATACATAATTTGAAGTTTGATTATTTAGATTATTTGTCTTATTGTGAGAAAGGATTGGATAGACACATAAATAAATAGCTTGTGTTTAGTAAGTTCATTTTGTGATAAGGATGGGGTGCATTTTTTTTAAAAAATGAATAACATTTATCTACCTCGCTTAACTCAATGGTCCTACTTAATGTATTAACTTCTGTTTTCTTTATTTTAGTCTTCTCCTTACTAAGAAAATGTCAAAACAGAATCATATCCCCTATCTATTCTGGATGCAAGAGCAGGGGAGGCAAAGAGAGAAACTAGGATAGAGAGGGATATACTTATGCCCGAGAGACTCCTCCGGACTTCTGGCGGTGAATGCGGATGGATCCAGTGGAAGGGGCATGACCGGCAGGAGAGGGGGGTCGCAGGAACTATCTCAGAGTGCAGACCGACAGAGATACAGCATGCACTTCCAAGGTAGTACACAGTCTGCTAAAATCCAGGGGTTCTTATAGGGTAGGGGTAGGCAACCTTTTTGAGACCTGGGCTGGTCTCCTGTAGCCCAGGTCTCGGCTGGGCCAAGGGGAGGGGGAATGGTGGCATGGGCACTCATGCACACGTGCGCCCTCCTCCAATGCACGCACCCCCCCGTGCACGCTGCCGCCACAGCCACCGCAGCGCATACAGCCACAGCTGCCGCGGCGCATGTCACGGCCGCCATTTCGAAAATCAAAATGGCGGCCGTGATGCATTTGCGCATGCACAGGAGTACTGCGCATGCACAAATGCATTGTGACCGCCATTATAATTTCCAAAATGGCAGTCGCAGCGCGCGCGGCCTCACAACAGCAAAAACACGCCGCGCTGGCGGCGCGCGGCAGTGGCGACCTTCGGCCTGGGCCAGTAAGTCCAGGGACCTGGGGCATAATCTTAACTCTTGCCTTGGTCAGCTATGTCTTGATCAAGTCCTGAATAATCACTCTTATAATTGATTGTTTATAGAAGAAGAAAGTAAGTCCCTCTTCCTTACTTGTTCTCCTATTCTAGGGGGGGGGGGGGAATCATGTAAGAAATATCTCCTTACCCTTCTGATGATATCCAGCAGTCTATTATCACTCTCACCTGACCAAATCCCCAATTGCGCAGCCTGTTGGATGCATTCATTTTATATTGTCTGGATGTCTTGCATTCTATTACATCTTGTAAACTGTCTTCAAGTCTTTAAAAAGCAGGTTATAAATATTGGAATAAGCCCATAAACAGCACTTTACTTTCAGGCCGTATATAAAACAAAATATGGGTTAGAAAAGCTAGTGTTGTTTTTAGCCTCCAAAAATATTGATGCAATGAAATATGTTGTACTGGTCACTGTGACTGCAGCTGGAGAAGTATAATTACCGCAATGTGTCATTTTGATGAATAGTGTCTCTAATAGGAGCACTGATCTGCTGGGTCTAGCATTTTTCATGAACCTCTGAAATAAGACCATAATAAATTGGGTGTATTTCTGTACACACGACAGAATCAGGAATGCCTCGGAAGTATTTATTGCTGTTGCAATACTGAACAATGAACCCAGCAAGATTTTAGAAGTAATGATGAGCATTTTTGTCCATTTCATAGTCTCTTGATATTGATTGTAGGTGCCATTGGGTATTCTCTGCTTTGTTGAGATGTAAACTGAAGTTTCTGTGCTGAAAGTGAATTCTGGAAACATTTATGTCTGATATCAGCAGGGCTGATTTGCTGAAGAGAGTGACACTAAACAGAGTGAGTAACTATGGGCCTTTACAGACTGCCAGAAATAATGCAGCTTGAGTCCATGCTAGGAAATCATGGGAATTGTATTTTTTCTGAGACATTGAACCTTCTCTGTCAGAGAGCTCTGATGCCACAATAAACTACAGTTCCCATGATTCCCTAACACTGAGCCAGGGCAATTAAAGTGGACTCAAGATGCATTATTTCTGGCAGTCTGTAAAGGCCCTATAGCAGGAAGCAGGTGCTGGGGGCAACAGCATTAGATTTCTGCATGATCCTCCTGGGAATCCTCCAGCTATTTCCCTCTTTCAGAGAACAAAGCTGTGGATTTAACATTGTCTGTCCTAATCTCTTAAACCTTCAAGTGTGGTGGATGATTCTATCCTATCATTGGCATTTATATAATATTAAAATGACAATTCAGTCAACAGAAATGTGGGTCTCATCTTGCCCTTAGCCTCAGGCAAAGCACTGGATGTCAGGAACATTGAAGTCTGCATTTTTCCCCACTACTAAAAGCTAGTGTTTGAGTAGGACTCTCAAGACCAGGGTTCAGTTCCCTACTCAGCCATGGAAACCCACTGGGTGAACTTGGGAGAGTAACCGGGGTGACCAGACATCCTCCTTTTCCAGGACATATCCTACATTTCAACCTTCTGTCTAGGAGGAATTCCAAAATGTCCTCCATTTTGAGCATGGATAAGAAGCGCATTGAGTAACACACATGTCAGGCAATAGGCTGCTTGAGGACACCATGCAAATGTTGAGAGAGTTTTTTCCTTTAATTTTAATTTAATTTAATTTTAGCATAATGGACACATGAAAGGAATAATTTAAATTTAGATTCAGTCAAGGGTTTGTTGCTTGCATTTGACAAATTAAGTATTTGTCTTGCTTAGAGTTCTGTAAGTATATTGCAAGCCAACAAGGAATTGTAACAAAAATAAGTTCATCAGAAAAATACATTTGAGTGCATAATAACATAGAGTATATTTAATATACGGTAGCTTCAAATAAACCATAGGGAATCAATTTATATTTATATTTATATGAGTATTTTTATTTTGCAATGTCCTACATTTTTCTGGAATGTCATACATTTTTCAGTGCCTTGTCTTCCTTTGCGGCTATTACATCTGGCCGCCCTCCGAGTAAAACACTCTCAGCCACAGAAAACCCCATGATAGATTTGCTTTAGGGTCACCATAAGTCAGAAGTGACTTGGAGGCACACAACAACAACAACAACAACAACAACAACCTTAGCAGCAAGTTGCTCACCTTGTGGAACCATTAATAAGTCAGCAACCAGGTGGAACAGAGTAGTTATTTCTTACTGTTTCTTGTACTATTTGACCCTGCTGTGCTGCCAGCTGCAATACCAACCTTCAGCAATCTGCAGTAGTGTCACTGCAGCACAGCAAAAGAGCAGTCTCTTTCTGCTAGCAAGACATCACAATGCCAGAGAAAACAGAATGCAGGTTCCTATCTCTCAGTACTCAAAATATATGGATTAAGAATATATGAAAACGTGGCGTATAGTAAAACAATTCTCATTACATTACATTACATTTCTCATTACAGTTCTCTTACTGCAGCTATAAACTGTAAAATAACCATCGCTTATTTTGAAGTTAAACCACTCACATTCTCTCTAGTTCAGCCCTCTATATCTGATGGCAACCAGAAAGCCAGGCGACACAGGGATCTTTGAAGGCAGTGTTTGAAGGCAACAGATCGACAGTTACAAAGGGCCAATGTAGTAT